CGATAGCGAAGATATGAATAATTTACGCTTAGAGATAACCGATAAGGATGGTCATGAATTAAAAACCAACTCATGGTTACAATTTAATTCAGAAGCTCGAGAAATTTATGGATTGTAAGTGCTTATTATTTCAAGGGCCATTTTTTTTTCACTTGGTTTCGAAAATACTTTTTCAAAAAAAATTGTTTATCAAAAAATTAATGTTAATGTTAATTCCCTCATCCTCTCACATTTTTTCAAATATTCGATCAGTTTTAATGCAAAAATATATCCTTTTTTTTTGGATTACTATATAACTCTTTTTTTTTAGTCTGTATGTGTTATGCTTTCCAAATAAGTTTAAGGTGTTATATACGTACGTAAGGCCAGTATAAAAAGAAGGGCCTGTGCTCTTAGAAACAAGTGAAAAGGTTGTAGTGGAAGAGGTCGGACAGAGGGACAGACGAACTTAGATAGATTTCAGAAATCATACTAAACCGGTTCGGTGGGTTTATCTCAAGTCTTTCTTGGGTGTTGCACGTATCCTCGATAACTTTTTTATATCATTGTACCACAAATGTTGTAAGCCATAAAACTGAAGACAAATTTTCTTCGCATAATAACCCTAACATTTGTGGGCAAAAATGAGGAAAGTAGTAAACCTTAGTTAATAATTCTCCTGCCCGCTAGCGCATGGAACCGCCGCCTATCTGATCCGCTTACAAGTCAGGAGCGACTATAAATTTAAACCTAAAACCAACGAAATCGAGGAAGTTGCATAGTTAGATCCTTCAACTTTATCTTAAAAAAAAAATTCCCGAAAACCAAGTTTCATTAGCCTATCGCCTAAATTGGGCGAGGCCAATTATGCCCTTTTCGTGCAGACATTATAGGAGTGCTGCTAGAAAATACATCAAATATATGTGTCAGCTGCTGGCCGATAGATGGACACATGATTGCTACGTTTTAAGAGACGATTTATTTATTAAAAATTGATTCGTTAAGTTTAATAGTCAGGCAATTAGGGGTTTACTCCTTGCGATTCTTTCCAGTACGATTTTAATATTTAGGAGACAGAAAATATAGTGGTAATATTACAAGGTTGCAAACATAGCCTAATACAGTTATTCACATTTTCTTAAAACCACATATGTGATCCAAAGTCCTGATCATTAGTTTTACTAAAAACCAATATTCGTCACTAAAAATTATATATTAAAGCTTTTGCAATATAAAAGTTTTCTTTTCATTCCGTGATACGAAATAGATCTACGTGGTCCACATTAGGTAAGGTAAATTGTTATATCAAATTACTATTTTGAACGAGTTTGAATCGAAAAGTACTGAATATTAAGCTTTTTTATAATGTAAAAATTCAATCTCCATAGGAACAGTTATATGGTAAAGAATTCAAAAAATTACATCAAGGTGAATTACAAAGCTATTTTTTTTGCGGACAGACAAGCTATAAAATAAGGATCTATCTCAAGTCCTTCTGGATGTTATAGACGTCCGCACAAATTTCATACACTTAATTAAGGTAGATCTATCCCAAGCTCTTCTGGATATTACATCCGCCCGAAAAAGTTCAAAATACCTCAACCTTTGTGGGGTATAAACACATTTACGGCAAAAAGGCTTACCAGGTCATCAAATATGAAGGAAAGGGAAAATTTAAATCTATTTCATGGTAGCTTTATTTTGACTTTTGAAAAGGTGAACTCTCTCAGTACATACGCCTTGAGTCATTTAAATCGTTTTCTATATCAACCTAACTGCAAGAGTTTTTAAAATTTCCAAATTTAAAGCTGATATTTTAAGATTTACGATTTGCTATGACCATAGATAAGCTGAGATTAAGTCAGATTTTGATATCGGTCAAGAATATATACTTTATAGAGTCTCGGCAGCGTTCTCCTGATTATTGCAAACTTTTTGCCACAATTAATACTTCGATAGCAGGCATAAAAACTACTATATAAATCTGTATAGCATTTTCGAAGAACTAAGAATCATCTCTACATCTCCGCATAAAAATTTACTATGTGCAGGCGTTTCCGAATGCGGTACTTATAAAACACGGTTTCGCTGTAGCACGGTACGAATTGACCCTATTAAGCGAACCAATTGTATTGCTTTGTAAAAATCATCCGTCCTACTGCATAATAAGTTCTCTATAGATAGGTAATCACATAACAGTTATCGATTAGGTGATCGTAATAGGCTGTAACCATTTCATTCTCCTAGGCAAAGTGAAGCATAGTCATCCGCAAACTCGTCGGATATATTCTTTAATTCTTATTTTTATAAAAATGTAAACTCTATCAACTTTTCAAATAGTTCTTAATCAAGTCGACTTACATTGTTGAAAATAAGGAGAATTGGAGCAATGTAGATTCCCTTAGAGTTATCTTTTGACCTTGCAAATGGATTAACTAACCATTTTACACTGTCACTTAAGTTAACCGGTTGCATGCGGTGTCGTTAACAATTTGAAATGTCTAGGTCAAGCTTTTCGCCGTCACATTCAAAAAGATTTTTATTAACACTTTGATTTGTTGCTTTATTTTCTTATATCTTTGCATTGTAGACCATTGGATGATGCCGTTTCAAAATGGCAATATCGTCTTACAGCCACCGATTCGGGCAATGAATCTGTAACAGAAACTGTTGAAATTTCGGTGCAACAACATCGTGGTGTACGCACTGTTAATCATGAAATTAATATTGCGGTTAAAATTAATGAGAAAAATATTCATTACATTGATTGGCAATTGAAACTGATTGAGGGTAAATTATAAAAATTGCAAATTAAAGGATGAAAAATAATAAGCGTTTTTTTTTTTTTTTAGCTATCGCTACTACCATGGGAGACAATAGCACGAAATCAATTGTTGTTCGCGAGATAAGGCAAACATCTCAAGATCCTCATACTGCTACTTTGGTTTACTTTAATGAAACAATACCGACAAGTCAATGCCCGGAATCGGAATTAAATAATTTAGTTAAACATTTGGATGCTCAACGCTTGAGTGATTTAGTGCATCCCATATTGGGTATTAAATCTATTACTGGCCAGCTAACCGGACCTTGTCAAAAGATAGTGTCTATTAAACCGAAAACACCGTCCATTAGTGTGAAGAACTCACCACCAGTTCCACGTAATCAAGTTGATCGTGTAGTGGCAACTACAGGGCATCTATTGGTTTATAAAGTACCCAGTGATACTTTCTTTGATCCCAATGATAATGAATTGAAATTGAATTTAAAAACTAAAGATAATAAAGATTTAAATCCACGTCATTGGTTGCAATTTGATGTAAAAAATCATGAATTTTATGGTATACCGAAAGGTGGAGATATCGGTCCCGAAGAATATTTATTGGTGGCAGAAGATTCTGGCGGTTTAACGGCCACAGACGCTTTAGTTGTTCAAGTTAATCATGCACCTAAACGGGAGTTTAGCGTTTACTTCAAAATCTATTTGGCCATAAGGCATGAACAGTTTAACGCTGATTTGCAACGGAAATTTGTCGAACGTATAGCTCAACTGTTTGGCGATGGCTCTACGCAGAATATACAAATACGATCGGTGACAACACATCATGACGCCGATGGCACTATAGTGAATTTCTACAATACTACGTTATTTAAAATGCATAATCGTTGTCCGGAAGAGGAAATCGAAATGGCTCGCAACATCTATTTGGATGGTCATGCTGTGAGAGACAAAGTTAAAAAATTAATGGGACCAGAACTGAATGTCACCAATGTTCAGTTGTCAACATTAGGAATATGTAATCGTAAGTTCTCGAAGGAAAACCAAATATGTGGAATAGTAAGCAAAAGTAATTTTTTCTCTTATTGTGTTGTTTTAGCGCAAACCGATGTTACTCATCGTGAATTTATACCCAATCGAACTGAAGAACCTTTATTGAGATCTACATTCTCCGATGACTATATGTTTACCATAATTATGCCGGCGATTATTATTGTAGTTATGGTTCTAGTAGCGGCCATAATAGCTTGCTGTTTACATCGTCGAAGGCGTAAAAGTGGTAAAATGGAATTGGGTACGTTTTTTCTTTTGCCTCTAATATTATGAGTTGCAAAAAATAAATTCCTCTTTATACCCCTTACCGAAGGACATGATATATGTATATCTCATTTTCACAGCATATATGTGTATATATATATATACATTGCAACGCCCAGAAAGAGGCTTCAAAGTATATATATATTTTTAATCAGCATAAAATTCTGAATTCGATTGAGATATGTCCGTCTGTCCGTATGCTGTAAACATTCCTCCGAACGTAAAAATTAAGTTGTCGGCTTCAAAGTTGACACAAAGATTGCACGCTCTTGCATGCAGGTTGGTATCAGAAATTAGCCAAACCGGTCGAAACACAAATCTATAGAGTACCACGGAAACTAAGAAAACATTTGGTTTTCAAAAGGTTTTTGCTCATCACACAAACTACAGTAGAAGATAAAAATTTTAACGTGGTGTAGTACCTATACGAGGATGGAACAAATTGAAAGCGCCTACTCGACATTGTAGTGGACGAATATAACACGTAGAAAGAAGCAAGCTTTAGAAACCATCCCATAAACTATAGAAATTCTTATCCAGTTTCAAATTTGGACTGCACTTAAGCATTTCTATCTGTTCATCTTTCCATCTGTACAGTTGTATTGTATCTGTGGTAAACATTCTCCCGTTCGCAATAATTAATATATATCGTCTAAAAAATTGTAAAAGAATGACACGCCTACAATACCCACACGACTCTGAACACATTTCCTTTTTGTGTTTTTTTACTTTTTCGCCCGCGCCCACTCAATATTGTAGAACATGAAAATGTAACTCTTTTTTCCCTTTTTTTGGTCTTTTTTTTAAGATTAACAGTAATGGGTGTACTTACTATTATTATTATTATTCTCTTTTATTTTGTCTCTAATTTTTATTAGGTGACGAAGAAGAACGTAAATCGTTTCGCACTAAAGGCATACCTGTGATCTTTCAAGATGAATTGGATGAGAAACCGGAAATCGGTAACAAGAGTCCCATTATATTGAAAGATGAGAAGCCACCATTACTGCCACCGTCCTACAATACGTCCAATATGAACGGTAGGTTATAACTTTTCTATATTTAAAGTAGTTGCGTAGATGTTAACAAAAAATCATTAAAATAATGAAGTTTAATTTTAGGTGATAATGATGTCGATGAATACGTGCCGCCGCCAGCCGTAGTTGTGGGAGGTCGCGAAGCGAGAGGGAAATCGCCGGCTACGCCATCATATCGTAAACCGCCACCATATGTTTCACCATAAATAAAACTTAAAAAAAAAAAATAATAAACAAATCAATAACAACAAGAACAAAAACAGCAACAACAGCAACAAAAACAACAACAACAACAACAATCCCTCATGAAAGCAAAAATAAATTTAAGAAAGCTCTCTCGAGAGAGAGCAAAAAAGCAACAATACAATAATAAATATTTATAAAAACAAGCAAAATGGAAAGTAGTTATGAAAATAAGTGTCAAATCATAATAAAGTTTATATACATCATTGTATTTACACGATTAGGTGTACGTGTATGTTAATCTAAGCGAGTGATGATATCAATAATTTAATGAAAACAAAAAAAAAAAAAAAAAAAAATAAAATAAAATAAAAACAATAATCATATATGGGGAAAAATCTATGAAATTATTTTTTACTACTAAAAAAGAAAAACTAAATATTATAATTTATAAACTATTTTCATATGACATGGATTTAGTTTTTATTTTAGCATAAAACAAAATTGTAATTAAAAAATT